GGGGGGGGGGGGGGGGGTGCTTTGGGGTTTAGGGGTGTAGGGGTTTAGGGGTTTAGAGGTTTAGGTTTAGGGGTTTGGGGTTTAGGGGTTGAGGGCTTAGGGGTTTAGGGTGACATGCCCAGCCGCTGAAGTCCATGTGGAATCCCTGCCCTAAACCCCAAGCAGCCATTCTACCGGCAACAAAGAAGTAGTTCTCCAAACTAGGGTGTTGGGGAGGTCCTATTTATAAGGGTGCTGCATTATGTTTGGGGCCTAAAGCGGGACCTTAATTTAGAGAACTACCCAAATGAATAGCTTCCGAGGGCCAGACGGGATGTTCCTCGCCATACCTTGACCGCAACCTCGGGGCAATTCTGGCACTGGATCTTCTTTGTGGTTCTTGGGGTGTAGGGTTAGGGTTTAGGGTGGGTTTTCTAGTGTCACTATGCTGTTTTGTGAATGCTTCTGCGGCTCCTTCTTCATGATGCATTCAACCCCTTGCTGTATGCCCCTCGGAGCCCAAACAACCAAGAAACTATTGTTGATTAACCCTGCAGTTGCCTACTGACTGACAAAGAGAGGGTGCTCAAAAGAAACACTCGGCTTGAGGGAGTTCGAGTCGAGGGGTTTGGCTTTAGGTTGTGTAGCGGGTGTAGTAGGGGCTTCGGTACGCATGGGGCTATGGCCTGAGGCTCCATGCGGCTTTGCCTTGATCCACTAGAACCTACTTTGTTGACATCTAGTCCGTGGAGTTTCAATCAAGCTCTACTGTAGAATGTACGGAGACCCTGGAAGAAAGTAGGGTGGTGCCCTGAACCCTAACTCAGCCCATAAAGCTTCAACCCGACATATTCAAAAGTCCTATAACCCCAAACCCTAAACCCTAAAACCTACCGGGTAATCCCAAAAGGAACTACTTAGGGGCCTATGGGTAAACCCAAAATATAGAGATTGCCTCAGCGCCTCACTCTGCGAGCGCCACGGTGCCTAATCGCACTGCAGCAGCTCCTCACGTTTGGTGCTGCGGGTTTGAGGGTTTGAGGGTTTTGGGTTTAGGGTTTTCGGTTCAGGGTTTAGGGTTGAGGGTTTTGGGTTTAGGGCTTAGGGGCTTCGGGTGGGAGGGTTGGGGGTTTAGGGGTTTGGGGTTTAGGATTTAGGCTGCTGGCTTTAGGTTTTGAGGTTTAGGGCTCAGGGCTTGGGCTTGAGGGGATCTGGCTTGAAGCCGGGAGTTCGTGTTGCTCTCAGGGTCAGGCTTCACTACTTTAAAAAAAGGAACCTAAACGAGTAGAAAAGGGTTTTGAGCACCATTATACTATACCTCTAATAAGGAACCCCCAAAATAGTATTGGTTATTATTTAGGCCCCGGCGTTCAATACTGCAATGATGGCGATGACGCCGATCGCTGCAGAATGACAACCTGAGTGCTCGATTCTCGCCGGTGTACCTGACGTGCTGTGCAGGAAACATTCCAACATGTGAATAATGTCAATAATAATTATAATAATATAATAATGAAGATCGTAGCCCATAATAGCTGACTAGACATGTCCCCCGACACTAGTGGTTTGCACCCAATCCGGTGCACGACGACAAAGCATTAGGAAGATAACGGCTGCGGCTACTATTGCTCTTGCTGACTCTTGCTATCTTCAGGTGCACGAACAGAACATCCGCAAGAGTTACCAGCTACTAACTAACGGCACAAGCGGAGGTATGAGTAGTTGGAGACAAAAGAGTCACTGCGAGAAAGTATGATAAAGAGATCGTACATTAACCGAGGTCACGCATGCGGGCAATGATTCTTAGCCGTAGCAAGAGTAGCAAAAGCCGAACCGTTGTTCAACCACACACAGGAACGCACAGAATCAGCCAATAGGCTGCTAAACTCAGCTAAATCTTCAATACTTCCTAAACTCCTAAAGCCTGACTTCAAATATTAAACCCCAGATCCAGTCACCCAAAACCCTAAGGCGTAGACCCTAAACTCTTAACAAGGGTTTAAAGGCTTTAGGGTTTACATGGGTATCCAAAAACCTACTGTTTTGGGGGTCATAACCTACAATTTTGTAGGGTTTGGGGATACAGGTAGCCCAAGGCAAGCTCCTTCGTAGTGGTGTTTGCAGGTCGGACAGGACAGGTCGAGCCTGATCCGAGACTCGGGAACTGCAGGACCTACTTTTTTAGTGACCTCAGTACTTGGTACGGTTGATGATATAAATCCTGCATTACCCATAATAAGGAATATACCATAATTTCCATAGTTTAGGGTCCTTAAGGTAATGCAGGATTTATACCTGATCCTGCAACATTTGTTCAGGGACACACTAGTTGGTAGGTCCTCATGAAGGGACCTAAAGACGTGGACTGTTAAGAGTGAGAAGCTTAAGGAATAGTGTCGCTAATCATGCAAGCTCCTACATCACATGGAAACGGAGACCTCTTGGTGACTCCCCAGGGCGTTGTCAAGATAGACTTGAAGCGCCTGGCTTGGGATTCAGAGGTTCCGGTGATTTTCGGGTTTTGGGGCTTGAGTTCATGGGCTCTTGGATTAGGAAAGTCATGGAAAGCCCCTGAGATCCTCGACCCCTATAGAACCCATGAGCCCTTTTGGGGGTTTGAGCCTGTATGAACCCTAAAGCCTTAAAACTAAAAACCCTAAACCCAAAACGCTGAACCCTTAAAACAAAACCCTAAGCCCGAAACTCTAGAGAGTCTTGAGCCCCCAACTCCTGGAATCGATGAGCTAAACCCCAGACCCCCCTAAACCCTAAACCCTAAACCCTAACCCCCTAAACCCCTAAACCCTAAACCCCTAAACCCAACCGCCCTGCTGAGGCACTTGCAGCATGCCCCGGGCACGGAAAGCAGCCTCGATACAGTCGAGGTGGACATACCTGCAGGTCACACTTTGGGGGAGGGGCCGAGGGAGTGCCTTGCGTTAGTGATGCCAGTGGTTATAACTCGGGGTTTATAACTATATATGTTAGGGTCCGTTATGTTCTGGAGGTGAACAGTTTTGGTGGTTTAGGGAGCAGTCAGGCTTTCAGAGAGTCTTCGTGGGGCTTAGGGTTGCGGGTTGGGTTAAGGAGCCTACTATTGCATGTCTACATTGGGGCTCGCTGTGCTCTGGAGGCGGGTCTCAAATACAAGTAGGATGTAGGGCTTGTAGGATTCGGAGTTTCGGGGCGTCGGGCATTTCATTAATTAGAGGGTCAATGTTGGGGCTAGTGCTTAGGAAGTCGAGGTTGGTGGTCATTTTGAAGCGTTTCATTCAAGGTCTCGCATAGCCATGGGTGCTTCGGGAACCTTATGCCTCGTGTGTAACACTGATGGCTGGGCTGAGGGTTTAGGGTTCTAGGGTTTTGGTTTATGGCTTAGGGTTGTCTGACAGGCTCGGTGCTGGCAGCATCTGTGGACTCGACATCTTCGTGGAAGCAGATTTACCCAAGATGCTTCGTTGGACGTGCTGGGGCGGGGTACCACATGTGGAGTACCCTCCCTTCGCAGACGAACTTCAAAAAGTGCACGCATCTACATAGCACAGAACCCTTATGCCCCTGAACAAGAACTGAACCCTCCTCTTATTGGGGTAGGGGGTAGGTTCTACCGACCCGGATTTCAAAACACTACTGAGGCGACCGGAACCCTCTGCCGAAAACATCCCGCGAAGAACCCTACAGGAACCCTAAACCCTAAAACCTAAACCATACCTAAACCCCTAACCCCTAAACCCTACACCCCCCGAACCCCTAAACCCCAAACCCCTAAACCCCAAACACCTAAACCCTAAACCCTAAACCCTAAACCCCTAAACCCTAAACCCTCAACCTAAACCCAATTGAAAACAACAGTCGAAATTCGACAACCCCAAAAACCACAAGCCCGAAATGGTTCAAGTTTAGGGTTTACCGTGCTAGGGTTTGGGGTGCTAGGGTTTAGGGTGCTAGGGTTTGGGGTTTAGGGTTTAGGGTGCTAGGGTTTGGGGTGCTAGGGTTTAGGGTGGTAGGGTTTAGGGTGCTAGGGCTTAGGGTGCTAGGGTTTAGATTTTAGGGTGCTAGGGTTTAGGCTTTAGGGTCTATGGATTTCGGGGTGTGGGGCTTGCTGGGTTCCGTTTCAGAACTTCATTCTAAGCTCTCAGAACAGGGAAGCCCTTTTGATACCTGTTGAGGTAGTTCGAACTATTTAAAGGAGCATGGGACTTAGTACCTAGGTTATACACATAAGGAAACTATGCTTGTGATTACTTATAACCCACTGCCAAAATGAGGGTACTTATTATCTATCATAACTAATAAGCCCCCTGATCCTATACTGTTGATTACTTATAGCCCAATGCCAAAATGAAGGTACTTAGAACCTAACATAACTAAGTCCCCTGATCCCTCCAAGTAAGTTCAATAACAATGGGAGTTAGGATTAGGGGGACCCCTGGGGATGTAGACCCTCTCAATAAGGTCCCTTTTAAGAGAGCCACAAGTAGGGTTCAGAAGGGGTCCCGTTTAAAGGGTCTAGGACTCTAGGAAACAAGAACTCGCATAAAGGGTCTGGGGCTCCGCAGGCTGCCCTTAACTTATTGGGGGTTCAGGGTTTCGGTTTAGGGTTTCTTTTTTAAGACGCAACAACCCTTTCTCCACCGCAACAGTAGGTCCAGGGCTCGTCCAAAAAGGACGTACACCCCAACAGACAAAAGACAAAATGACAGAGGAGGACGCCCACGACGAAGAAGAGCCTGTTGACACCGCGACAGCCACCCCTCAAGCAGGCAGAGCCGAACCACAGCAGAATAAATCAATCCCATCCACAGCACCAGGATCATAGCCAAGGCCATCTTGACCAGCACGTTCACCAGAGGGAACTGCTAGCCTATGCGGAGGAGCAAGAGGAGGCAACCTCGATCCATGGCATGTTCCTCTTCGCCCGAAATCTCACCGTCACCACCCACCATACAATCTGCACAATCTCCATCCACAGCATCCAGCTCCCCACCATCGTCTTCTGCACCTCCAGCACTAGCACGGTCAGTAGCTGGGTCAGCACCCACTCCAGAGGCATCCCCAACCTGATCACCATGAGAAGGAGCCAAAGATTCCACATCGCTAGGAACCGGAGTTAGGGCACCATCATGACGTTCATCTCCCCGACCAAGGATAAGGTCAAACACCCGACGAGTTAAGCAAGGTCTCCGCAGGAGACGTACCCGAGGTACGGAGAGCGGAGACAGCCAATGTAGTCGAGGTAGTCGATGCAGTCAACGTGGTCGTTGTAGTCAAAGTATAGTCAACATAGTCGTAGTCGACGCGACCCCGGAGGAGGTAGACAACGTGGCCAACGTGGTCCAGGTAGTCGATGTAATCCAGGCAGGGGACGAGCCACCAACATCGTTCATAGTGTTTTCTGCGAGCAGATCAGCCAGGAAGCCTCCATCCTGCAAATTGTCGACTGCAGAAGGCGTCCCATCAGTGGAGGTGGACGTCATGGTGGAGGGCCAAAGGATCTCACGTAGGACCTCATCCGTGTCGTACATGGCACTAGTCGGAGTCTCCGGTACATCATACCGAGGATGAGACGGAATAACCGGTGTGGCCGGCTGCATCTGTTCCAGCGGAGTAGTAGTCCCTGGTCGTCCTGTTGGCACCGGCGCAATGTTCGCCAACCCTCGTAGGTCATCATGCCTCGGAGTCATCGGTGGACCATCTAGTGGAGTCGTCGGTGGCAGCGCAAGCGGGTTGGTCGCCCCAATAGATGAACCCGCAGCCGCATGTGCAAGTGGGAGACCTGGTGAGTTGGGCAACCCCGCGGTAGGATGAGCCTGCACGGTCTTTGCATGAATGTGAGGCGGATCTGGTGTGCCTTGCTGTAGGGCTCCTGGTAGCGATCCAACATCCGGAGCTCGAAAACGAGGTCGTGGACGCACGAACTCACCCCTTGCTCTCGACGGCCCCTCCCAAGAAGAGGCTGCTCTCCCCGATGTCATCTCCATCTCCATGGCTGGCTCGGGCGGCGGGCGTTTCCTAGGGCGGGTAGCAACACGCACCCCAAGGTTTGCGGGTGGGCCCGGTGGTGGTGGTCTCGGCTTGTTGCGAAAGGCTTCTTTCAGGGCCACCAATTCCCTGTGGTCTTGCGCCCTCTGCTCTGACAGCCTCCTAGCCTGAAGTGCTTGTAGCTCTTGTGCATGAACCATCTCCTGCGCTTCTCCAACTAGCCGGAGCACATCACCCTCCAAACCATGAGCCCAATGCAGGAGTGTTTCGTGTTCAGCAGCAGACCGTGGTGTGGCTGCGCGGTTCATTGGCTGGAGGGTACACCGAGTGCAGCATCATATCCCGGTAGAGCTGCAAGGTATCAATGACCGTCTGGACGAGGATACCATGACGATGTGCATCCCAACGAGCATAAGGACCCAACCCAGTCTGCTCCAGCCTTGCAAGCGCTTGTAACGCAGTGGTAGCATAGGGACGAGCCATGTCTGGAAAGGGAGTCCCTTGATCAGGGAGGTATCTTTCATCCACGAAGGGATGCTCCTCCGGGGGGCATAGCAATGTAATATTGACATTGGCTGTTCGCCCATGCTGAAGGTCACAGAGCAAGGAGGTGTCGGCCTCCGGGTTCACCTCCACATCGCCGAGCATGCCATCGTGTAAGAGCCTGGTTTCCTCCCCGTGTTCCGAGGGTGGTAGTGATGACGTGGTCGTTGATGTGGAAGGAAGTTGAACCATGCTGCATCCGTCGTCCACGTCCTCCAGCCAAATGTCACCCAAATGTAGAGCTTGAAGGGGAAGTGCAGGAGGAGCATCACGGGACTCACCATCGGCTCCAAAACTTCACTCCTGCTACAAGTTTCCAGGCTGCAAACGTTCCTGCCCCAGCATTCTGTATAGTTAGCCACCGCCGCTTTCTGTGTACTCAATGGGCTCCGAGACTGTCGGTTCACATACTCGATCTTCCCATCGTGCAGTCGTCGCCCCATCCAGGGGGGCCCATCAACACACGTAACTCCTTCATGGTCAAGCTCCCCGAAGCAATAGTGTACGAAGTCAAAGATCGCGAAGTTCACGAAGACAACATGGAAGTGAGGCACAAGGTCAAAGGGGGTCATGTAGTGTTTGAAACACGTCGACCTTGAAGCCCGATGCAGTGACAAGCACAAGCTCGCCCCACACAAAGTCAGCCCGAGGGCAATCATTGAAATCATCACCCGCATGGCAGATAAGAGGGCAGGATGCAAGGAAGCTCGAGAGGTAAAAGGCAGCAGCCCCACGCGGCAGGAACTGTGACGTCGACTTGGGGCAGGGTGAGCCCAGCTGCGCCAACGAAGCTCGCATCCACTCAGCGAAAGAAATCGCTTCACTGAAGTCAGCATCAAGAGCACAACATAGGCAAAGTGCTTCAACACTACCAAGTCCATGACGCGCGAATCTAAAGAGGGCCACCTGTTTAGGCCACACAGCAAAAGCAGCATGCCACTAGCAGAGTTGCCAGGGCGAAAGGTAAAACTAAGGACACTGAAGAGCGGTTTGTCGGTGTCTGCACCACTGTAGATCCGAGTGTTTGAGCCATTGTTCTCTCATCCCGTCCCAGGTGGACCGGTCTTCTCCAAGTGACATCCAATTCACCCCAAGAGCTTCCGCCAAGTCACGTTCCGTGTTGGCAGGAAAGAACTTGGCCCTGCTCGAGGGGAGAGCCTTTGCTGATGCCTCCACCATGCGAGGTTCCTCCAGCGAAGAAAGCGCGCTGACAACCCCGGCGTCCCTTGAACACCACGTCCATCGTCTTCCCACTGCCTGCACCAATTTTCTACGTCTCGATTGAACTCACGCCAGGTGGCCCTCCGGCTCCGACTCGAATCCTTCCTCGTGGAGTTGATCTTGGCCTGCCCGCTTCACGACGAAGCCAGGGCAGCACCGATAGCACCGATAAAAGCACTGCTGCACATGACTGCTCAGTGATCCTCCTGCAAGTTCTTGGATCAGAGTCTGAGCCTCGCTCTGCAGCAAAGGGTCCTGTTCAGTGTGTCCAATGGTCGTCGCCTGCAGCCATGCTCCCGCCTCACCGGTGGTGGATGACGATGATGCCTGCACGCATGCTCGGTGCGGGCTGGGTCGTGCCCTACAGCAGGCGGAGAAGAACAAAACGTACCTCTGTGGTATTCTCCCCTGCCTGTCCTCCCGTGGCTGCCTTTGGCCGGGGCTTGTTGATGATCCCTTTCGCGGCCTTTATCACCTCTCTTGCGTTGGGCGCCTCTCTTGTGCCCTCAGTGGCGGTGGTTGCGTTGGAGCCGACTTCCTCCTGGGCATTGGCACCGCGAGCTTTGCGAGGCACGTATGTTGGCGTGAGGATCTCGAAAGGGTTGAGGAGCTCCATGCTTACCTTGGGAGGGGAGCTCTTGGAGCGGCTAATGGCCCGGTGCAGGAGCCCGCGACAGGTGCGAGTCGGGGCGGATGTTGTGCCCTCCATGGCCATGGCGAGGCTAACGGCTAACGGCTAACAATTCGTGAGTTGCTAAAGGAGCCTCGAAACGCTTGAGCCAAAATGGCAACGCTTGATCGGCTTAGGGTTTAGGGTATAGGGAATTTTGGGTTTAGGGAATCTAGGGTTTAGGGAATTTAGGATTTCGGTTTAGGGTTTAGGGAATTTGGGGCTTAGGGTTTAGGGGTTTAGGAGTTTAGGGTCTAGGGCTGCGTACCCTAAGCCCTAAACCCGTGAACACTGAGGCCCGCACTTGGCTGAGCCACGGCAGACACAAGGACTGCAGAGCTCACCCGTCTCCTCGAAGCCCAGACCCCGAAGGGGCCCATGTACCCAAAGTAGTACATTTAGGGTTTTACTTGGGCCCCCAAAGTACCTCTATAGGGAGTACTTTGAGGCCAATGTACATGGGTAGCTCTCGAAACTGGGGTCCCTTTTAGGGTCCTTTTTATAAGGCTGCCGTATACTCTAGTGGGGATATCCCAAAAGGGGACCCTAACTTAGAGAACTAACCACACACTATGTTGGGTACCATGGACCCTTAGGGAGAGGGCCCGAGCCCTTCTCGTTCCGTGACATCCCCTTCGCCACATGGAGACGCCCAATGTACTGTTGATGGTTGGAATCCTGCATTACCTTAAGGACCCACAACTATGGGATTTATGGTATATTCCTTATTATGGGTCATGCAGGATTTATATCATCAACTGTAGCTTAAGATTGAGCCAGCAGAAGAAAGCCGACGGAATGTCTGAGAGTCCTGAACTCAGGATATATGAGCAACCCACAAATTTTTTCAGGCCGAGACCTTGAACCCTTAACTATCCAAGAGTTGGGTTAAGTGTCGAAGTTCTGCACCTGAAGAGTTAGAAGACGGATGAATACGACATGGGCTGTTTAGGTTTCCGGGTTTGGGGGGTTTAGGGGGTTTAGGGGCTGAGGGTTTAGGGCTTAGAGGTTTAGGCGATTGGGATTGGGGGTGCCAAGGCCGAGAGGGCTGAAGGATTAGAATGATTAGAACCCTAGAGGCTGCATATACATTACTATTATGGAATTTAATGAGGCTTCCCAAAACCATAACAAGGATGGTCTTTTGGGGGTCCAGTTCCATAATGGTAACTATAGAAGCATTGATAGCAATGAACCCCTCTACGAACCCTAAAGCTACACCCTAAGCTCAGAAGGGAGTTTAAACGAAGACCGGGGACCCACTGCCATAGGATCCTTCGTCTATGGAACACC